TCTGTCCCAAAAATAAATAAAAGTTAAAAAAAAAATTTTTTTTTTTTAAAAAAAGGGGGAAAAATACAGTAGCCAAGTGTCTCATAGATGATAACCAAGTACCCTGAAGTCCCTGCCTGCTGATTCTTTGTGGGTTCTTCTAGCCGACCTGTGGATACTGACCTGTGACTGCCCAGCTCCCCGGTTTCTCTAGTGACGTTGCCTACTTACTATTCTGGAAAGATAATCCATCGCACTAACTATCTCGCTGAAATGAGGACACACCTTCCCCGTCTCATGTCACCCTCTCCCCAGGCCCTAGGCAGGGCTACCTTATGCTCTGTTTTGTTGAGACTTAAAGATACCGCCATTTAATTTGATTCACTTATGATGACTTTCCTCTCCCTCAGGCTCAGTATAAGCCCTTGGAGGTTGGACCCAATTTAAAAATGGCTTCATTCTGGGGCGCCTGGGTGGCTCAGTCGGTCAAGCGTCCAACTTTGGCTCAGGTCATGATCTCGTGGTTCGTGAGTTCGAGCCCCGCGTTGGGCTCTGTGCTGTCAGTGTGGAGCCCACTTCGAATCCTCGGTCCCTCTCTCTCTGCCTCTCATGCTCTCTCTTTCCCTCAAAAATAAACATCAAAAAACAAAATAAATGAAAAATTGCTTCATTCCTCCCACCACACCCTGGACCAGGTTTATGCACCTCGACAGCTTTTCCTCAGAGTGGTTAGTTCTCAGCCTTTGCGGTGAACTCAGAGAATTTGAGGAAGACCTCGTCCCTGAAAAATATGAACATGTATGCACCCCCACACAGTGTTCATACAATTTTTAGGAATTTATAGTCTCTGAAATTCAACTGTGGATTTCGTGGAGGGCTAGACCCCAGACTAAACCCCCTAGTTTAAGCATTTAAATCCTGAGCCCCCTCCCAAAGCAGTTGGAAGGGGTGTGGTCCATAGATCATGGACCATGGTTTCAGGATCGCTCTGACTGCCTGTCAAAAACCAGCCCAGCGAAATCCAACTCTCTGGGCGTGTGTCCTTGGAATCTGCATGGATTCATTTCTTGTGGCTGCTCTAACAAATTACCACAAATTTAGCAGCTTAAAATAACCGAAATGTATTCTCTCCCTATTCTGAAATCACGTTCGCTGGACCACGGTCAAGGTGGCTGCAGGGCTGTGTCCCTTCCGGGGACCCCAGAAGGGGAATCTCTTCATTGTCTCTCTTTATCCAGCGTCTGGTGGCTTCCAGCACTACCTGCCTGGCAGCCGCGTCACTTAATCTCTTCCTCTCGTGGTCACATTTCCCTCTTGTCTTGTGTGTGTGAAATCTCCCTCTGTCTCTTTCCTATAAAGACGGCCCTTGTGACCTGCGCAGGTAATTTATGTTACGCACCCCATCTCAAGATCCTTAATCACGTCTGTGAAGAGTTCGGATGTCACAGAAGGTGACATTTATAGGTTCCAGGGATTAAGACCTTGTATTTTGGGGGGCCATCATTCAGCCTACTAAACTGCCTTCCCGCAAGCTTCCTGTGAGATTCATACGAGGAACACGGGCTTGTGGAGACGGCCCTTGGTGGCTTGGACAAGTGTGGGGAGCCATTGCCAGTCACTGGACACATTGGCTCAGAGAAAAATGCAATGGGAAGAATGGGCGCTTCGGAGCCCGCAAGTCGAACTGCAGTTCTCACTCTGCCTCCTCGCAGCTGTGACTTGGGGCAAAGCATGGGTCCTCTGCAACTGTGTATTCTTACCTGTCAAGTGGGGATGATAGTGCCTCTGTCAGGGCAACTGGGATTAGTAGAAACCCTGGAGGTGAAGCATCTGGAAGTTATTATTGCTGTTGTCTTTCCTGGGAAGAACCTCTGATCCACTAAAAAAAAAAAATAATAATAATAATGGTTCAAAGAAAATATGAATAGCTAATGGCGTGGAGACACAGAGCTCGGGTCTTGGTTCTCTTCTCTTTACCGGACGCCTGAAGCATCTGAACTTCTAGCTTTAAATACCGCCCCTGTGCCTGTGCCTCCCGAGTATCTATCTCCAGATCAGACCTCCTTCCCAGACTTTAGATTCATATACGCAGCTGCCTATTCGACATCTCCACTCGCATGTCCGATTGAACACGTCTACAACCAGACTCGTGATTTTCCCTCCCGAGGCGCCTCCACCTGCTGTCCTCCCTGCCCAGGCTGCCTCTGTGTCCTGGTCCTATAGGGGACAGGCACAAGCCCCTGGGCCTGTGCTCCTCCTCAACCAGGGCACCCCTTACAGTGTGGCAGGTGTTGTCTTTCAACCCCGCTGTGAGAGTCTTCAGCCGGGGCTGCTGAGCTCAGATCTGTACCCCAGCACCTGACTCACTGCCTAGCACGTAATAAGGAACATAGTTGCCGAATGAATTGATTTTTAGATAGGCTGTAAAAAGGTACAGTGCCCTTCTGTAGTGAGACCATGTTTACAAAGCTTTGGTGGCCCCTACCATTGTGTGTGTCTGTAGGGGGGGTGCTGGGAGGGCTTTCAAGAAACCCACGAGCTGGGCTTTGGAGAACAAGTTTGCTTTTGGCAATTAGTGCGGCAGCAATCTTGGAAAGCTGTCCTGGCGGCAGGAAGACGCTGGCTGGCGGATGCCTGCAAATGGCAGAGGTCCTGCAGCGAGGGAGGATGTGGGGCGAGAGAGGCAGGCTGCCGGCACCCACCAGCTCTTCATCCGGTGGGGAACACTCAGGATTGTATGTGCTAATCTACTCCCCTCCCTCCTGGAGTTAGGACCCCTCCCAAATTCTGCCAGGACCTTCCAAAGGGCTTTTTCCGTGGTCGGCCCTCGGGAAGTGAATCAGTTCCTTTAGCAGGCTCCTCTGAGGCTTGGTGGCTGCCCCACCCCAACGCTAAAGCTAAAGTTTCTTTGGCCATGGTTCAGAGTTTGCCAAGAAGAAAAGCTAACAGGAGGGCCACAGCTCGTAGGCATTTCCTGTTGGCAGAGGCACTGAGCCCACAGGCATTGTCCTGAAGAAGGAAGGGCTGATCAGCCTGGCCTGTCCTTGTGGGAGCCTGCTGGCCAACCATGGCCCTAGGT